CCCTAGCTAGGGTGGCGGGGGAAATTGCAGCAAGTTGCTTAGGGCTAAGTGGGGTGTTGCTTGGCTGGGCTGCACGGGCATTCACTCTGCGCTGCCATGGGCTTGGCTCATCAACCCCACTAAACCCCCTCTTACCCGCTTGGGCAGCCTCAGGTGAGGGCGCTGTGGGATTTGTAGAAGACATCGACTAGTAGTCGTACTTCTGTAGCCACCAGGCAACAATGCAACGGGCACAGTAGTGGCATTTATGACCGGTGCGCTTGCGAATGCAGGTGTAGGCCTTGCAAACCTGGCACTGCTCAGGGCACACGCGCACATCGACCTCCATGTCGGAGTCAGTGTCCTCCCACTCGGAGGATGGAAGGCGATAACGCCGTCGACAAAGGGAGTTTCCCATGGCTCGAAGGTGAGGCTCAAGACAAGAAAATTTCTGCAACTTAACATGCACAAAGTCAATAGCTTGTCCAGTAAGCGGATAGCATGTTGTATCACTTGAGGCTTATGCACGACCGACTTCAAGCTACCTTGAGAAGGCGAGCGCGGGTACAGAAGATGCAAGATAGCACCACCTGGCGCTCATGTTGACAGAAAATTTTTCGGCAGCCGTTTTCTTTAAAAATCAAAGCCCGATTTTTCAAGAAAGTTCAAGCTCAAGATATTAAGGGACTATCAGCGCACGCACTGACGGCCTCCTTCCTTTGTGGAGTTTCGCACAAACAGACAAGATCATGAATCTTCAGGTTGGCTTCTCTTCATCACGGTGGAGCGTGCTGCGTGGTACTATACACCCGCACCCCTAAACCCTTCCCCCAACCCCTAAACACCAAAACCAAAACCCTAAGCCCCGAAACCTTGACCCTATTCTTAAAACCCTAATCCCCTAAACCCATCCCTTTCCGCCCTAAACCTTTGCATCTTTGCCCCCGCACTCTGCTTGATCCTCGCTCCTGGCAGTGAAACCCCAGACCCTATGGCTCTCTGCCTAAACCTAGGCTAGTGGCCGGAGGCTCATCCTGATGCTGAGCACAGACATCCTGGCAGTTGCGAGAGCTACCGATGAAAAGTCCTGGGCACAACCGAGCACAGGTCATCTGTCACCACATGATGAAAAGCGTGCGGATCGTTTCATCAGGGAGATTCCGGAGTAGAGCACTGAGCACAGGAACTACATGCGCGAAACCTGACTGAACAAGCAGAGATTACTTTTCGGAAACCGCACAGCAAACTCATATCCAGAGATTCCTCAACGGAAACGGGTGACCGGCTGCGCATGCATCAAAAGGCTCGCACAACGGTTTGCAGCCGAGATCAAGACCACGAAGCTTTGCCTTGGGATTCCTTCTCCACCTTGGGACCCAGACCCTCCCAATTTGGCTTTCGAAATTTGTCCACCCGCGTCACTTGACCCAAAATGGCTATGGAAGATCCGATCCCACTACAGCGATGAATAAGAAGCTGCACAGCTAGGAAGAGGGCATCGCTCGCTGACAACATTTCTCCTTTGCGGGTCGGGTAAAGTTAACCCGCGAGCACTGGAGAACCAACCAAACGTCGAACTTCGCAAGCTGTTGGGGGGTCTCCCCTGCAACACCCAACGGCCGCAAAAATCTGAGGAGCTACCCCACTAAACGAGAGAACAGTCGCTGGAAAACAACGCGAGCGCCGCTTGGAGGCGACCCACGAAACAACAGAAAAGTCGTTGGAGAAAAAATTGCGAGCGCTACCGCTGGGAAGCTAACCCACAAATAGGAAAGAACGCGGGTCGATCGATGATGATTTAGCAGGATTTATTTTTGGCGTGGGCGGGCCTCAAAGACAGCAGTTGCTGCACTCGGTCCCAGTAAGAACTACAAGAATTTACAAGAATACAATAAAGAGCTGTACAAGAAAATCATGTAAGGTGAAACGGGCCGCGACTTGCAGACTTAGCCAGCAGGGATCGTTCGGCCTTTCAGGGCGTAGCTTCTCTCAGGTGTCTTGTTAGCCAGGGTGGAGCGGTTTTATACGAGCATCCACAAAGCAGCATGTTCCATTGGCAAGTGCGTAGATAAAATGGCCCAGCTTCCCAGTATCGTGGGTATCGCAAGGGCATGTAGCAATTAACAGCAAAGCATGCTGCTGCCGTGTGCCCGTCGTGCGGAGCCATCAGCTGTGTACAAGCTCCTGAGCGAAGGTAGAAAGGCCTTTGTGGCCCGCCATGAAGTATCCCAGGAGAACAAGCCAGAATGTAAGGCATTGGGTTGAATTCGCCCAAGGTGCGCGTGCCAATGTCACCAACCAGCAAGCACCAGCACTTCGGTCCAGGCCCAGCTTCCCAACATAGTGGGTCTCGCAAGGGCAGCACAGTACGAGCGCAATTCAACCAACCATGCCGCCTGGTAACTGCCATGTTGGCTAACCAGCCAGGTCTTGGCCCAGCTGGCAAACCAGGCCCAGCTTCCCATGTGTGGGTATCGCAAGGGTCAAAGAAAGGCAGGGGCACACAGGACTTCCAGGGAATGACGGGGCTCAGATCATTGCAAAATTGCCCACGCCCAGCTTCCCATCTTGGTGGGCCTCGCAAGGGCAAGAGCTAATCGTAGAATGAAGATTCAACGTAGTGTGGGGCACAGACCGACAGCGGCGGTCGCAGACGCGTAAGCGGGAGGTCGCCCAACGGCTCCATGGAGAAAAAGGGCAGGCCCCGGAGCCCAGGCCATGCCAACGCCCAGGGCTGCGTGTCAATAAGTGCGGACTGGATGGCCGCAGCTCGAAAGAAGTCCGAGCCCTTGTAGAGCCTAATAACCGTCCTATAGGCGAGCCGGGACACAGAAGCGAGCACCACTAAAGCTTCAAGGTCAACTTGAAAAATAGTGGCGCGCACTTGAAAGCCGAGTCGCGCGATCAATTGGAAATCGGTCGCAACCCTAAAGCTGTGGAGAGTGCGCTGCGCTAAGTACGCAGAGACACAGCTGCGATACTCTGCAAACTGCTGCCGAAGAGCGAGGCCCGCAGCCTTTCGCTCCCGTGTATGAATGGCGCGGAGCACCTGCCGAGTGGCAGCCGACGGCGGGGCTCCAAAGAGCACCGACATCGGATGCACCGCCACATACATGACGATTGGCGCCCCAAGAGTCTCCGGAATCGTGGCCATGGCTTGTCTTCTAACCTGTGTTATAAAGGCCGACACGGCAGCGAGGGTGCAGATGGGCAGCCCACCAAGCGGCCGAGTGCAGGCCCCACACTGTAACGGGTGGGGTTCCCTATGCCCGTCGGCTGTCGAGTTCGAGAGCCCAGAGTAAGGACTAGGTCAATGACAAGTATAACACCAAGGCACCCTTCCCCTGCCTAGCCAATCGTACGGCCAGCGTCAATCAGGCAGGTCCGTGGAAGTTATTGGACGCCAGCGAAGTAGAGTCGAGTCAGAAAGGCGTGCGAAGCCGCGTAACCGGCAGCTCTGCAAGCTGCTCCAGAGGAAAGTAGAGCCGGTGCGCCAACCCGGGCCATCCAACAGCCCAGGGTTGCATAGCCGCGACAGCTCTCCTTGTGGCTTCAGCGCGGAAAAAATCAGTGCCCTCGTAGAGTGCAAGTACACCTTGACACGCACGCCGCGACGTGGAAGCCCACGCAAGGCGGGCCACGAAGTCGACTTGCAAGATGGTGACTCGCACCTGGAATCCGAGTCGAACGATCATCTGAAAGCTCTTCTCTACCCAGACTCGCCTGAAAGTGTGCTGCGCCACGGCGGCAGAAGCACGTTCTTGATACCCAGCCAGCTGCCGCCGCAGGGCCACCTCAGCTGCCCGTCGTTCATGCGGGTCCATCATGGACAGCTGGTGCCCGGCGGCGGTCGATGGGGGGGCACCAAAAATCAACTGTAGGTAATGCCCAGAGAGGTCCTGGAGGACCTGAACCATGAGATTTTCGGGAAGCGCGGCCATTGCTAGTCAGAATCTCGCTCTCTCTTTTGCTCCCGATGAGAACCACGTGCACCGTTGTACCGGCGAGGCATTAACATCTCGCAAGAAATGCAAGCCGCTACCGAAATCATGATAGCAGCTGCAGGTGCCAACTTCCCAATGGATTTCCAAAAGGGCGGGCGGGCGGGCAGCTGGAGAGGAAGTCGCGGCCGTTTCAAGCTCGATTCTATAAATCAGAATCTCGCTCTCTCTTTTGCTCCCGATGAGAACTACGTGCACCGTTGTACCGGCGAGGCATTAACATCTCGCAAGAAATGCAAGCCGCTACCGAAATCATGATAGCAGATAGCAGCTGCAGGTGCCAACTTCCCGCATTTCCCATCCCGACCTAGTCGCCAGTGCACGCGGCAACACTTTGGTGTTTCCAAAGGAGAAACCAGGTACCAGTGGGGACGCTCGCCTGAGTCCACTGGCAGGCCTGCTTCAGCAAGTCCGGAAAGCACGAGGCTGCCTCAAGTACTTTGCGCTTTGCTGCTGGGGCCAGTCCGGGGTAAAAGGTAGAAGCCGCAATTTCTTGAAGGTATACTTCCATGACTTTGTAAGCTCCTGGCTCGAACCTCTTTTCTAGTAGTGTCGTCCCGAAATTCTATTGTGATCAATATGCCTGTCATACTCTTTACCCCGCCAGGACATTGGATGTGCTTTTATCTTGTGTGTTCATTTCAGATTGACATTCATTGCCACTCACTCCTTGCCGCCATGCTGTTTTTCATGTTTCTTATGACAATCAATGGCCATAGCTGCTGGTATGCCAGGGTCCCGCAGTCGCTCCAGATCGCCGCTGTATAGTCCTACTTCAGACATCAATGTATGTGCGTCAGGGAGCAGTGCTGTTAGTGGGCGTGCTGAACCCAGTCGAAGGATCAGAGCCAGAGGTATTATCTCTGAAGACGGTCTGCACAGAAGCAATGCTGACAGTCCCACTATCTTTCAGTCTTCGACTGCCAGCTGGCAACAGCAACAGGAGCCGGACGCCACTGAAACATGCTATCAGCTTACAGAGACTATGTGACTATGTCTGATCCGCCGCATCCATCGCATATGGCTTTCTTGGACCTATTGGCAGAGCAGGTCTTTGAGAACCATATTGGGCCGGATCTTCAGCGCAGTTTACTTATGATATATATATATATATATATATATATACATATCAATGCTCAGAGAGCACGTCTTCGAGAGCTTCTACACGAGGCATCAGGACTCCCTTGGTTTTTATGTTTCTGCCTCTGTAGCTCACGACCTCCCAGTCATGCTGATTGTTGCGCGGCCTTTCATACATGGCAGGTTGATTGCGTTCGTAATCGGAAACCGGAGGACATGATGAGCATTGATCGTCGCTGTCTCAGATGGCGAACCAATCGGTGGCAACACACTCTGTCCCGACGGAAGCGTTGCAGACTCCATATGCGAAGACAAGCTAGGAGAACACGCGCTGGCAGGGGGTTTTTGAAGCTTACTGCTTTTTACCAGCGATTGACATGTGTTGCCTCATAGGGCTGTTGCTTGCCCGGCTCAGTGCCTGCATGTCTTGGCTGTCCGAGGCACATGCGCACTACTGTACACGTGTTCATGCATGCTTGCAGCCTGCTTCTTCTTCACGTGAGATTGTCAATGCCGAACTCCAGCAGGCCGGGCCTATGCCAGTTGAACCAGGCTTCCTTGGAAACCTCTGCAGGTCTTTATGGTTGCCTACCCGAGGGCCTTTCCGTAGTACGACTTCTGCACTGTCGGCCGGGCACTGGTCTCAGATGCCACACATGCACTCTGCATATCACTTTCTTCTTGGCTGCCCTTGTCTATGCAACACAGCAGCATTGCAGCTATGCCTCCAGTTACATATGTGGATCTCAGCTGTGCTCTTGCGTATGACTCAGCGATTGCAGACAGTTGCACGTGTTTCAGTGGAGGTGTTCACAGTACAGTGGTATGCAAGCTGTATTCTGTATCCTCGACCAGTGACAAGTTACCTGCATAATTCCTTTCGTGGTGGGCTGAACTGGTGTATTCCTTGGGATACCTGGTACTTTGCACTGCAATGGCTGGAAGCTCTGCTCACAATGATCTGCCTTTTCAGATCAGGCAGGAGTTGGCATCGCAGCGTGCACACCAGCTTCTCTATGATATTGATGAGTTTGCGGATCCGGTTGAAGCTGTGGATGCTGACCCTGGACTGGATACGGCTGACGGACCATTGGTCCCGTCCGACCAGTGATGGCTCCTATCCGAACAACTTCGATGCAGCTCGTTTCTCAATGGAACCGCTGGTTAAAGCCAAAGCCAAGCCCAGACCTTCTCAGGCTCCACATGTGCTGTTGGCTGGTTCTACTCGCAGATATGCCAAGGGAGCTCTCCGCATTGTCCGGGTTTGTAAGACCCCACGTCGTCGACAAGCAGGCCGAGCTCCGGGCTGTGCCTTTCTGTGGAAAGGCGGCAAGAGGTTGCGAGGATCTGCATATTGCCATGTGGCCACCCAAACCGATCCAGTGCCTCTCAGCCCTCTGCGACCAATGGATCGGCGGCTATCTGCGGATGATATTGACCGTGATCTATCTGACAGCTATGATGGGCCGAATAATGGTTGCAACTCGAGTTCTGATTCTGAACGGCTGTCTGCCATTGCACGAAATATTGTCAGTCATGAGTTCAATCCCTCAGACAACGACTGACATATTTGTGTATCTACCATCCTTGGGAGTGGCTCGGCTGCTGTTGCCTATATTGGCATTATCTGACGGAACGTCTGCTACAGCATATGTATCTTTCTCTGAGATTCGTGACTGGCTGACCGAAAAGATGGTGTGGACTTTCTTATATGATGCTGTACATGCAAGGGACTCCTTGATGAGTGGGTATGCTCACTGGCACTTCCTTTCTGCTCAGGTTGACTGGAACTATGTACGTCATGGTCTATGGCCTTTGATGTATATTGCGTGCCAACTCTATCATATATGCTCTCGTACGTACTCAGCTTACATCGATCAGCGATGGAGAGAAAGGATGCACTTTTTGCTTTGAGTTGTGCGAAGACACCACGACACACGTTCTGTACCACAGTTTGTCAGCGACGCTTCTATTATATATGGCGGTATATATATCCTCTGGTAGAAAGCATTGATGCCCAGGTTGTGGACGATCTGATATGGTGTCACTGCCTGAGCGCTCTTGGATGGTATGTATTCTTTGCTGGTGGACTGGTTAGGCCACTGCTTGCAGGTATTCACCAGGACCTGAACCACTGGGGGCCAGATTCTGATGTGCTATTCGTCTGGTTCTGGTCGCACGCTCTTGCAATGCTGGTGGTCCGATGGCAGATCTTAAATTCTATGATTCGTTTGGTTCCCGCGAAGGTGGTACAGTCCAACTCGTACATCTTACACAGCATCCTTGTCTGGTGGGTGCCTCAGCTGGTTCGATGCATCCTCCTGATTTCTTGCACTCTGTTGGTTGCGTGGAGCTTAACAACTTGCATCCGTGCTCTGTCTGCAGCTTGGTTTTTGCAGTCCTGGGAGCATGTGCAAGATATTGCATTCACGTCAGTCATGCAGTTGATATCTGGACAGCAGTACCCATGTGTTTGGCCGACTACACTCCATCATGTGTATCCCTGGCTGCGCCAACATGAATATTTGGCCAATTCAACATGTACTCCCCTGAGCATCCCGAGCCGAAAAGGGCCTGGGATCAAAGGCCGACCTTACCCAGGAAGCGGAGACGACCTGCTACACCACCGACATTGCCCTCCCGAGCTCCTCTACAGCGGAGAAGAAGAATTCTCCAGGGACAATGTGCCAGGTTGCGCAAGCCCCTTCCTCGACTACGACGACCAGAAGCGCCCGACTTTGAACCCGGCCCGAGTACGCCCGCCTCTAGCTCCACACGGGCTGCGCCACACAGTGCCTCCAGTTCCACACCTTTGGTTCTGAAGGAGGGACGGGTCACAGAGAGCCATCGCGCTACCAAAAAGACTCCCCACAGCTTTCTTCGAAAGAAGATGTCGGCCAAGGAGATCAGGTCTATGAAACGGGCCCAGAAGGCAGCCACCAAGGTGTACAACAAGATGAAAGAGGCCCGCGAAAGGAAGGCGACCGAGACCCGGGATGCGGCTGCGGCTGAACCTGTGGCTAAACCTGAGAAGACTCCTGCTGCCAGCTCCAAACACCAAGCGCGTCCGCGGCGGGCTACATCTTCAAGGACCCCAAAGCCCATGGCTTCGCAGACTCGGCCTTTGGGAAGCAAGAAAGGTTCCATCCGAGAATCTTTTGCACGCAGCAGTCGGTCGGATCCTGAAGTAACACCTATGCTGCCGGCGTCAACAGTTGTGACTGAAGGGACCCCTGGTACTTCTGGTGGCACTTCTCGTACAAAAGCTGATGTCTCTTCTTCTACCTCCACGGTGCCGCCTGTGCAGGATGACATCATGCTTCAGCGACAGCAGCAGCTTCTTGCTATGCAACAGTACACTACCAAAAGACGATCCCAGATTCGGCAGCAAGCCCTCTTGGTACAGCAACAGGTCGCTGATTCCGCTGCAAATGCAGCTAACATCGTGGAGGTCTCTGCTGCAGAGTCCACCGAATGTGCTCATGCCTCCTCCGCGTACATGAAAAAGCTACTTCTTGTTCACAGTCAGGCTTGCATGTTATGGCTGGCATACAGTACTTTCACCGAAGATGCTACACTTTTCAGTGCCCTCTCAGGTCAGTCTCGTGGGCTATGGTCATTGCCTCACATTCTTCGGACGCCAACCCTATGATCTGGATGGAGAGCAGTACTCTTTGTGTCCTCTGGCTGTTGATGGTCAGGCTGTACTTTTGCATTCATGATATACAGAAGTGGATGCAGGCATGGTGCCTTCTGCTGATCAGGCTACTTTGCAATATTGCAACAGTTATTCCATCAGTTATACTGCCCGATTCTTGGACCGAACATTTGTGGCAGTGGATGCAAACTACATGTCTTCCCTTTTACTGGCTGAAATTACGGTGCATAAACAATCTGCAATATTTTGGTTCTTCTTTTCCCACATTCTTTCACCACATTGGGACGATCACGCCTTTTTCGGATGAGCCTCCGGGTCCCAAGTCCCGGAACGACCCACTAGCCAGCACCAGGCACTTCCATCATTCTTCACTTCGGCTGGTCTGATTTCGTTTTCTTCTTTTCTATTTTGTTATCAATGGGGTCGTAGGAGCGAGGGTTGCCTCTGACGCCACAGGGGCAGGATCACAGGAGCCAAGTGCGACTGTGACAAGCGGCGGAAGCCTTACCACACGGCATGGGAAGAGAGCATTTCACAGGGCCCAGCAGCGGGCACAGGCATTTGGGGGCACGTTTTATAAGGGTCGATGGTGCACAGCGAAATCGCTCAACACACATGGCCCCTCCTCTTCATCACCCTCTCAATCTCTTACTTTCCAGCCGAGAAAAGGTGCTTTTCGATGTACACAGACGAATCATCATTCTCGCTCCATCAATTTTATTAGCTGGAACAGCAGTGGCTTGAGTTCCGGTGTGTTACAGGAATTTCTGTTGTGGACAGACATGCTTCCGGCCTCTTCCAGACCTCACGTTATTTTGATACAGGAATCGCATTGGCGATTTACTTCTGAATATCGTCATGGGGACTGGCTGGCTTTTCACAACGGTGTTTCTGAATCCTCACAGGACCGCTACGCTGGCCTGCTCACCCTTGTTCGAATTCCAGGTGTCACCCAGGATCATGTTCGTGTGCACAATGTTCTGCAGGGGCGGCTGACACATGTGCGGGTTGATCTTCCTCATCGCAATCTGGACATCGTCCATGTGTATCAGCATCCCTCGACAACAGATCCCAGCAAGACTACTCAAGACAAGCGCAGAAGACTGTTTCAGCGTCTCGACACTGTCATTCAATCTATGCCGGGTCGCAACTTTCTGGCTGTTGGTGGTGATTTCAACATTGCACTACCCTTTTCCCCGCCTCGCACGGGAAGTTCACTGACTACACCCTATCCCCAGCAGTCTGAGCACACAGTGGCCAACAACGCACTACTGCGTATTCTTGAGAGACACTCCTTGCAGGCGGTCAACACTTTTCATTGTCGGCCTTGTTACACGTTCCAGCACTGTAACAGTCGTACTCAGATTGACTATATTTTGGTTCGACAACATGATGCCACGGCCCGTGCAAAACAGGCAAGGCCTGTTTATGATCAGGCCTTGATGGCCTGGAGAGAAACCAAGCATCACCCACTCCTGGCAGAATTTTCTTTGCCTTATACCTGGTGGCCCAAGAAGCCAATATCTGCGCCGTATGACAGGAAGTCGATGCTTGCAGCTTACAGCACTCAGACCCCGGAATATGCTTCCTTTGCCAGTGATGCGATTGCGACGGTAAGCACACTCCTGGAAGGCTCCTATGATGGTATTTGCTCGGGCCTGCTTCAGGTGTGCAGTCGGCATTTTCCGCCTACAAACACGCAGGTGTCTCGACCCTGGCAACACCCGCTCGTGTCAGGTTCTATTCGCACCATGTGGCAGCACTTTCGGTCGGCACAGACATACAAGCAGCGCCATGCATTTGATCTGCCTACGTGTTTTGCACAATGGTATCATCTCTCCAAATTCAGGTCTATGAGGAAACTTACACAGTCGTACGGGCGCCAACTCAAGCGATCTCGATACCTTGATCAGATCCAGCAAGCAGAGGAAGCTGACAATGCACACAACCCGTATGAGCTGTATCGCATTGTTCGTTGTCTCGCTCCCAGGCAGCGTTACCAGACGGTGCAGATCCGAGATGATGACAATAGTATTATTTCTCATGTTCGAGAACTGGAGAAGCTTCGCATACATTTTACCAAGGTCTGGAGCCTTCCTTCGAACTGGACGTGTCCCACGTTGCTCAGCCAGCCTGATATCATGCCTCTTATGTCTTTGAAGGAGGATACCTATGCCCCGGAGACTGATAAACTCCTTGTTTGCGCATCCTCCATCCCATCGTACAAGGCACTCCCCAAAACCCATCCGATTGCACCTGCATTTAGAGCTGTTGCGAACCTGCTGGGCACGAAAGTGAACAGTCTGCTTGGTCAAGAGTTTCGGGGAGAGATGCCAGGCTCTTGGAATCTTACTCATGTTGCTCTGATTCCCAAACCGGGAAAGAAGGTGGGCGCTATATCTTCACTGCGACCCATTGGTCTTCAGGATCCTGTTGCCAAGTGCTATGTGAAGGTTCTGGCGGATGACCTTAAACCTTATGCGATGGCATACCTCCGGCGCATCCCTCAACATGCTTACTTGGCCTTTCGCTCGACTTACACAGCTATAGTTCAGGTGGCTGCACATTGTCGTCGAGGTCGAGATCTTTCTTGCTTCTTACACTCACAACCTGCATCATCGTCGTCAGGGACAGGTTAAGCCAGGAGAGTTTTGTGCATGCCTGCAAATTTCTGTTGACCTTTCTCAGGCTTTTGACACGGCACCGTGGGCATTGCTTGAACAGGCCCTGAATCGCACCAATGCGCCAAGCAATCTCAAAGGACGCATTATGGAATGGATTACAGGTACAACCTATGTGCTGGAGCACCGTGGCTCTCGAGTGGAGATTTCTGCTGAGAGAGGCGTCCGCCAAGGATGTGTGCTTAGTCCTCTGTTGTAGAGTCTCTTCACGGGACTTATATAGGAAGAATTTCAACACATTATTCAGAAATCGGGTGTATCACCGGACATTGTCTATCCTGTCTATGCGTGGCTCTATGTCGCAGAGTCTTCGTCGTCTGTGGGTATCCTCTTACAGAGGTGAGAACTGGCTCCGTATTCCGGTGGGTGTAGGCAATGAATACATACCACTCGTGCAGCAAATTGACTACCTGGGTATTGTCCTATCGTATGGACGGTTTGAGGACCTCAGTTGGAAGCGCAGGTTCGGTGTCTCCCAGGCCAGCTATGAGCGTCTTCGCAAGATTCTTTTGGGCCATCATGTGTTGTCCTTGCCGCATCGCGTACAATTGTGGCGAGCTGTCGTTTTGTCCTCTGCTTGTTACGGGCTTGTTGGTGTTGACTGGAGTCAATCAGGCTATGAACGGCTGCACGGCATGTGCATGCGGCATATGCGTGCTATTGCACGAGCTCCCCGACATCTCACTCACGAAACCAATGACCACCTACTACAGCGACTGGGGGTCCCAGCACTCGGCGAGCATCTTCATCGTATTGCCGTTCGAGCCTATGAATATCATGTCCCCCTGTCCCAGCATCTGGATGTATCGGACATTGTGTGTACACCACTATACACAGACTGGTATGGTGCCCTTTCAGCACAGATCAGGCAAGCGGTGGACAGAACAAACTTGATGTCAGCCTCTTCGGTACATGATTCCTTGGATCTTCCGTATTCGTGTGAATTCTGTGAACGTACCTATGCCACTATGCGGGATTTGCGGGCACATCAGACGAAGATGCATTCAGATGACTTGCCAGTGGACTGGAATCAGAGTCAAATTACGCTTGAAAATGTCCGCATGTATGCTGTCGATGGTATGCCTACATGTTCGTTTTGTCTCCGTCATTTCAAGAACTGGCAGAATTTATACACACATTTGCTGCATTCGCGTTGCTCAGCAGTGACAGCAAGGCTCGAGCCTGTAGCGGCCACCTTGACTTCCTCTGCCTCGGTCTTGCCCTTTGTCAGGAACTCTGCATTTTTGGCTAAGCTTCGTCAAAATGGTATTCAACCCTTGCGCAAAGCGGATGGAATATTGCAGGAGCTTCGACATCATTGCTGTATTTGCAGGCAATGGCTGGTGCACTCAGACTATGTTTGCTCGCATTATAAGAAAACACATGTGGCTCTATGGAAGGCGCTTGAATCACGTGTTCGAGCCCTGGTGCGACCCAGCTATTTGAGTGCACAATGTCCGTACTGCTTGCGTCGGCCCTCTCGGAAGGGTCGGCACAGATGCCCTGTTCTTATGCAGGTACATCTGGCCTTACTGCTCGATGGACGAGAACCTCCGCGAGGGTCAGGAACTGGCTCCTCCCAGTCGGGAGGAAACCAAGTACTTTGCGGACATGTTTCCTTCTCCCACCCAGTTGCTGGAGCCAGCAGCCCCCATGGATACCAGTGCACAGCCAAAGCGTGGCATTTTAGAAGACTCTTCGGCCAAGGAGGAGGGACAGCAGAAAGCTTTCAAGGCAGCGGAGCGGGCCACACCGAAAGCAGAGCCAGCGATGACAGTGTCCACTACGGCCACACCGACCGGCTCCCAGAGTTCTCAGCCTCAACAATCCCTGCCATCGGCTTCAGTTCAGTTTTTGCTTGGGGCTGTATGACGGGCACTACATGAAGTTCAGATGGAGTGTTATTGTGCCATTTCCTATTTGACATGTAGTGCCTCCATTCAGCCTGTGTTCGTCCCTTCTCGGGTCTTCGGCTTCGGGCGGGGGACACCGTTGTTGGAGTGCGTGCTTGGTTCTACGGAACGGCGCACGGCTCTGCTCTCTTTCTGCTAAGGATCACAAAGTGAGCGTTCCTCCTGAACGCCGTGCAATACGCATGTCCTGCGACTCGCTACGTTCGGACTCCGAGCAGCGCTGCAAAGTCAAAAAAAAGTCCATGACTTTGTGGCTCACCCAACGGCCCCGGCGACGGACGAGCTCGGCATCCTCTGTCGCTTGAAGCAAATAGGTGGCGCCACCGGGTCTGAAGGAACGATCTAGAGGTCTCTCCTCATTCCTGGCCGTCGGAATGAGCAGAGCCTCTAGAATCGTGTCCAGACGCCTCCTGAGCGTCTGAGCCGAATACGGCCAGAGCCTGCTACTCGGCTGCAGACGCGAGTCTTTGGTTCAGCGATGCTGAGCAGAACGAATCTCAAGAGAGCGCCCCAAGCCAGGCCAAACACTCCGGCTTCAGTTCTCCATCCCCAAAGAAGGGACACAGAGAGAACCGCGAGGAGGACAATGGCAGGCATCGCGACGTGGTGGGTGTGAGGCTCCAAAGACATCCAAGCGAAGGCAACATCCCAGGCACCTTGAAGTTGTCTCCTGATGGCTGGCCGCTTTGCTGCCAGAGCGTTTATCGTCTCAGAGAGGTGCCAGTAGGGATAACCAGCCTCGAAAAGTTCCCGACCGAACTTCGCGAGCGCCTTCGAGAGCTCCTCTGCAGGCCACTCGTGTACAGCCCTCTCTTCGAAACCTGCCTCGCACAGCCAGTTGACAAACGCTGCTAACAGGGCAGCCCTGTTCTTCGAAGTCTGCTGTAGGACGGGTCGGCCTTCAGGCAGAGTTTGGTCCAGCCTCGCCCGCTGTCGGGCGGCGTCCTGCTGGGGCGAGAGGCCCCTCTCCCGAATACCCAAGGGTCTGGTCGAAGTCAAGGGCCGATGCGAGACCGCTGGAGGCAGCCGGCACGGCGGGCACGCAAGGGGGGAATTGGGCTCTTAAGGGCTCGCTTAAGGCAGCTAAAAGGCCTAGAAGCTCAGACTTACCAACCCGAAAGGAGAGGACTAGGGAAAGCCGAACCCAGCCAGCCGTGGCTTTGGAAAGAGCACATAGTCCCAGGGCTATATGGAGCTCGTCCGGTTCGAGCTCTTGGGCAATGCACGTGCCCTGCGGTGGGCGCAGATCGACGCTCCGGCTCGGATCATCCGCAACATTGAGCCCAGTAGGGGCGCGGGCTAAGCCCAAATAGACCCCACCTCCTACTAGAGTAGCGCACATGCGGAGAAGCACAGGGCGCAGCAACCGAGAGGACGACCGTCCTTTAGATATCGCTCCCCTGGCCACGGAGGAGTCAAGCAAGAGGACGGTCTTCCGGTCTCCGGGGGCGCGGGAAATCCAGAACCCCGGCATACAGGTCAGGATCAACGACATCATGACGGCCACGTGAAAGAAGCTCCTGCGCAGCAGTGGTGTCAAGCAAGGCAGCAAGTGGCACAGCCGGCCCACACGCATTCGTCAATGACCTTTCCAGGGAAACCTTGGCCTGGGTGTAGAAGTCCCGTCGGTCTGTAATAGACCCGCAGAGGCAGGAGCGCGAAGGCACGTGCAGTCGACACAGGAGTGGACCCGTCGGCATTGTCGAAGAAGGCCCCTTTAGGCGGCGCTCAAGGGAGTTGATCCCGCGCCTGTCGCCTATCTGCCTCTGCTGCGAAGGGCCTTTATAGGCCCCAAACACACGAGTAAGGAACCGGGGCGGAAGCGGCGCAGGAGTGAGTCCCAACAGCCCTGCCGCGTCCCAAATTTTACACAACCGTAGTAGCTCGCCTTTTCCCTCGCTGGCAAAAGAAGGCGCAGGAGCGGAGGGACCGCACCATCGTATCGCCTCAGGCTCAACAAAGGGAAGAAAAAGGTCAGCCTCGAGATGCTCCTCGAGCGGCCAGAGCCCACGGCCGTGCAAAACAACCTGGTCGGCTCGGATGCTCCTGTAAGGCTGCAGGGCCTCACTTTCAGAAGGAGCATGCGGAAGGAAGCTCGTCCCCTCAGGCGGGACGGAAGGAGAAGCGTAGGGGCCGGCCTCCAGACCATTCTCCTTTACATAAGCCAACACTTCGGAACGGCCAGATGAAGACCGCGACGCCCGGCACAGGCAGGAACAAAGTCAGCCTGGCGGGCACACGCTCGAACAAGCCCACTCAGCCTCTCATAGACCTGACTTTGGAGAGAGGAGAGGGGCCTCTGCAGAGAACGCAACGAAACATGGCGGTAGCCGGCGTGGATGTAATTCAAAGTCATCGCAACCAGGTGGGTGCATCGGGCGACAACCAGGCGGCGAGAAGCCGCAGCGTTCTTGCAGGACCGCTGGTAGAAGGCCCTCGTACTTAAGAGGCAGCGGGAAAAGAGCGGCGGAGGAAGTGAGAGAACCTTCCCGTCTTAGTGATTTACGAAACGTGGTTAAAACAATCATATATTCGGGCGTAGCCCAATCAATCAATATGTTATAAAAAGCAATCTTCAAATATTGGAGCTTCACTTGCAATCACTCGGACACCTTCGCTATTTTGGCACCTTCGGACTGCGATCAGATCAAGGGGAGAAACATGTGCACCACCGACGATCCAAGGATAACACAGGCGAACCTGTTTCCTTCAACGGACCCGTCATTCCCGGGCGGGTGGGCGGGAGAAAAATTGTTCAGTCAACGGTCACTGCAATGTGTTTCCCAGCTATGTGCCTGTGCTGACACGTGACCTACGGACACACTGAACTTAGGCCAAAGGCTTTTGCACTCGAACAACTGATTCCACGCCAAAGTAAAAGTGTGACATGAAATCAAGAGCGCACAGGTTTTAAATAAGTTGTAAAAAATTTGAAATTCCTACGTTTCGCGTCGCCTCTATGGGCGACTATAAATCAAAGACAACTCTGTCCGCCCGCGGAGAACGTCGTCTTAGTGATTTACGAAACGTGGTTAAAACAATCATATATTCGGGCGTAGCCCAATCAATCAATATGTTATAAAAAGCAATCTTCAAATATTGGAGCTTCACTTGCAATCACTCGGACACCTTCGCTATTTTGGCACCTTCGGACTGCGATCAGATCAAGGGGAGAAACATGTGCACCACCGACGATCCAAGGATAACACAGGCGAACCTGTTTCCTTCAACGGACCCGTCATTCCCCAGCAGACGTCCGAATGCAGTCACAAGAAGATCGGAGGTGCTTTGTCCTTGTAGGACGTAGCAAGAAGGCTCCACGGAAGATCATCCACGGACAAAATTTCCGAAGTCAGGTCCGATGCAATCTGACTGCAGTCGACAATCTTGCCTCCTATCAGCTTTGCCGCCTCAGCGCATTCTCCCCTGCTAGGGAGATCAGCGATATTGCTCGCAGAAGGAACACGCTCCAGCCATGAAATGACTCCGTCATGCGACTCACTGGCGTAAAAGGAGCATGCCAAGGAGAGGAGGGTACGGCTCGGACTGCTTGCCTTAATGCATACATAGCGCGCCGCATCATTGTCGACATAAAACACGCATCTGCGGCACTGCAAGTGGTCCTTGAAAGCTCTCCTTGCCAGAACCAAAGCAAAGGCCTCGGCCTGTGAAATGACCTGTTCAACTCCTTCATCAAGCCAAAACTGCACAAGGCGATCATCTACAATCCCGCCAGCTACCAGCCTCTCACCAGAGACAGGGTCTGCCAGGACAATGCCCCATGCCGCCACACCATCTTCGTAAGAGGCGTCGCTGAAGACAGACACCGGCCTCCCGCCTGACCTCAGTCTGATGACCTTGGGCTCCAAGCTCAAAAGCGCAGACTCAAGGTAGCGGCCCAAGGACTTCACCTCCTCGTCAGGCTGATCCCGTGGAAAGTGATAAAGGTTTGACAAGGCTCGCGCAGCAAATTTCAAGGAACGGCCGGAAGCGAAGCCCACCATGAAGTTCAGTTGGCCATGAAGAGATGCAGAGTCACTCTTGCTCACAACCCCACTCGCAGCCATTCTCCTGGCTGCCTCAACGAGCTTCTGGACCCGGCTGGGCTTGTTCTCGAGCTCGAGGATGTCATCCATGATTCTAGAAACGCCCAGCCGCATGCCAAGGAGGTTGAAGGTTTCCTCAAAAGGCTGACCCTTGTCGTCACCGACGGCATAAGACCATCCCAAGGAGTCAAGCAGGGTTTCCACCGAGAGGCTGCACATCCTAGAAGACTCAGCAGGCTCAATCATAGGATAATCATCAAAATACACGCCTCCTATGACAGCGCAAAGGTGCGATGCCAGATGTAAGAGCGACCTGGATATGCGATTGAATCCAAACACGGCCGCGCATGCGCCGAACGGCATGCTCCAAGTGGTAAAATATCTGTTGCGGCTGGTGTTCGGGTCCCATACCATTATGACGGCTAGGGGCAAGTGGGCGGCCAATATGGGAACCTGCTTATACGCTTTTTCCAGATCGAGACACCTTCCAAGCCAGCGCCGCCCCGATCGAAAGTCACTGTGCACAGCCCCACTCAGCACTGTCCCGTCGGACAGCTCGACATTGACTGCACCCGAGTCGTCCACGGAGTTCGCCAGAAACCTTATCAAGGAAACAAAGTAGTCGACGTCATGCAGCTGCAAGCGATCCACCGCGTGGTAGGCAGAATTTATGGCACTCTCCTTGAAATCGTCGATGGGGCGATACTTCAAAGCATCGCCTGCACCTTGCTTCACCCCAAAGCGCCGGCTGCAGCAGATGTGAGAAACTCCAAGGGCCTTCTTAACGTCCTCTTCCGAATCGTAGGGCCCCGAGATGAAGCCCCTCTCAACCTCCGAAAGTGTAGCCTGCCAGATTTTCTCGGCTAGGACGGGGTCGTCCCCAACTCTGCCCTTCGCCGCCAGCGCAGGGTTCCTCCACACGGAGGAAACAAGAAGATCATCCAACGTTGTGGTCGCCGGCTGCTCCTTCCACCCATACAAGGAAGACTTACTAGGCCTACCGACCAATGGGACGCCCTCCATGAGCTCAGCGACCGTGATGTCTGGGAAACCGGTCTCCTCAAGGAGCCTCTTCCACAACAAGATGTTCTTCCCCTTGAGCACCTTTTGGGCGTGCTCCGGAAGGGAGGCGTGATAACGCTTCTCCTCGACGGCAAGCTCACGCTTCAGCGCTGAAAGCTTTTTCTGAGTGTCCATCCGCCTGCGAGCAGGGCCCAGGAGACCCATGGTGAGCAACTCGAAGACGTTCCTTTTGGTCTGATCGTCAATGGCAAAGGCGGAATCAAAGGGGTGCTCAACTTCCAGCGCCTTCTCAAGGAACTCACCCTTAGAGTGAAAAACTCCAAACGTGGGGCCCTGAGTTGAGCCGCTCCCGCCAACACCCCGATCTGAAGCGAGCTCGCGAAACTCACCACTTTCAGGGCGGACATTTGTGAAGGATTTGTACTCAGGCACGAGAGGAGGCTTCCGATGAACCTGACGAACCAAAGGCCTAGGCAGGGTTGGCGGCTGGGCATTGACCAGCGGGCACAGGAGGCGAACGTACTGTTCGCACAAAGGCAAAGGATACTCGGCCTCGGAAGCTGTGTCGAATTTCCAAGAAGAGGCCGCACCTCTGAAGATGCGGTACGGCTCGTGAGGGTGATCATTTTGACAAGAAGCCACCAAGGAGCGAAGCTCGGGCACATTGGTCAAGAACCTGGAAGTTTTGCGACGGCGACCGCCCCAGCAGCATTGATCAAAATCAAAAGTGAACAGCTCGGAGTACCATGACCGAAAACGAGGCTTGTCAAGCGCGCGCACAAAGTGGGCTAGAACACTCCACATCCAAGAGCGAATGGGGTTCTCAATGACAATGCGCCAGCCTCGATCATGTGCTCGCACAAGCACTTGCACCACGAACTCGGCCAGTCGGTTGGCGGCCTCCACTCTAGCAGACTCCTGAGGACTCAAGGAAGGGAGGCCCAAGACGTGCACATGGTCTCGTAGCGGGCGAGGCTGAGGAGCACCACGGGCTCGCAGATGTTGGGGAAGTGGCGCCTCACGGGCACGCGATCCTGTGCCACAAGGCAACCCAAAGTGAATCAAGAAGACACTGGAATTCTCGAGGCGGCTCAAGAAGATCTGTTGGCAGATCGGCAATGTCAGGTCAAGCGTGCACACAGGATGCTCAGGCTGATGCGGGTTCCGAGGGCCATCAAAGGGCATGACCTTGAACCCGACCCGGGCGAACGTAGCTGACAAGCGAGCACAGCCAGCGAACACCTCAACAAAGGCAGGAGCATTCGGAGGCACAGGAGGAAAGTCGGGCGAAGCTGCAGCGACATGCGCCGGCGCATCTGACGTTGAAAGCTGGCTTGCCAAATGCAGATTATTTACACCCGGGTAAGGGGGCCTAAACCCTAGGGAGGCTAGGGTCTGGGTGTCCTTTGCAGAAAGGCGATCGGAGCCCCTGAGGCTGAATGCCACAAGAACAACTCGCTGACCTGTCCAGTCACATGTCCCGTGGCGTCGAGTCCGGGCATCAAAGAAGACGCCTGTCTTGACATCCAAGAGGGCCTCAGAACCCTGCGGCCCGCCTTCAAGTCGAATCTGTCCGCTTTCGAAGGAAGACAGGGCAATGGCAAAGTTCAAAGTCCCCTCCAGATTATTAGGATCTAGGTGCATCTCAGTCCGTAAGTTCGCAAAGACAGCAATGTTACTGAAAACAAACTCCTCAGGAGTGTTTTCCACTACAAAACGGCAAAAGGGTTTGATACTCTCAGCATGCAAGGCGCAAGACCGGCGTAGACCGGCCAGCACACCGAAAATGTAGGCCCCAGCTTGAAACACCTTCGTTGAAGACGTCGATCCAGGGCGAGGCGCAACCTCATTAGGCAGCGACTCGAAAAGGTCGAGAAGGGCCGTCGCCTGAAGCCGAGGAGCAGCGTCATGCACCGCAGCCTCAGAAGTGTCACCACCGAGTCAGGCCCCGCCGAGCGGGCAAGCGCTATAGCTGTGCTCCTTGAAACACTTCCAACATATATGGAAGCCTCGTCTGCACCGCTTGCCATCCTTGGCAAACTTACAGCCCGCCCTGTTGTACGCAAAGCATATTGGCTTGCCGTTGTGTTTGGCACTGCATCCAGATGGGATGTCCACTTGCGCAGCCCCTCCTGCGGGAGCACCGGTCGGTGCTTTCCCTTTTCCCTTGCCTCCAGCTCCCTTCTTGCCCTCCCCTTTGCCATCATAAGGAGAGTAGCGGAGAGGCTTCTGCGGTGGCATCAAGAAGAACTGCACCTGAGGATGGTTCTTGAGAAGCTCGAGCTGCTGTTGCATGGGCTTAGCACCATCCGGGCGAGCAGTGAGAGAGCCCCGGGTTTGCTCTGCGATCCTGATGAATAAGTGCTTATCAGCTTCTCGGATTTGGCCCATTGAGACGTAGAGGGCATTGGGAGGTGGAGGCCGAGTGAGGAGCTGGAACAACTCCTCATGGTAAGTTTCCATGACAGCGTAGTCACACAAGCGGGCGAGGTCATACGCCAACGCGCGCCTCTGAAGCGCTTGTCGAGCTTGGAGCTCACCTGTCAGAGTACACTGGCTCTCCTGCATCTTCTTAGTCAGCCTCATGTTGCCCTGAGCGTCAAACAGGATGGCGTTGTCGGAGCGAGAATGCGTCAACTCATGAGCCCGACTTGTCAATTTCTCCCAAGGCAACCACGTCAGCTGCTGATCCGCGCCCTGCTGGAAGACAACATCCACAAGGCGGTGAGAGGGCTCAGACTCACTGTTGATGCACACGCCCACAAGGCGCTTTTTCTGCTCATCCAGACGTGTTGTTCTTTCAGCGATGGCTAAACGAACTGGTTCCGCAGAGTCATTTCTCTCTACTTTCTGCTTCAGCTCTCCCATCACTGTGGTCGAGGCTTCGAACCACAATCGCCTGACTGGGATCAGCTCCTTCGCGGTCAAGTCGCGCCCTATCAGGGCTTTGAGGGCTTCAAGAAGCGGTTTCTCATCTGCTTGACCGATTTGATAGGGGCTCACAAAGGCTAGCGCGCCCATCGTCTTCACGTTGTTCTTTACAAACAAGTCCAAGAGATCGCGCTCCATGCCGAGCTCGGTGGCCCGGGCAGCGAACGTGGCTTCGCTGTCAATTGTCGAATTCATGGCTGCTACTGTCCCGTCCCTCAAGGACGGCCTGAACTGCTCTCTTCCTCGCTCTAGCCAACAAGTCAGGACTGTCGTCAGCAAGGCAACTTTGGATGCAGCTCAGAGAATCAGAACCACCAAGAGCTCGGCACAACGCCCGTAGGACAGCCTGCCCCTACTCGCGCCTTGTCAAAATTCCTTTCGCGCGAACAGGTCACACTGTTACTGTGGTGAGGCACGGATGCCCAAAGTGAGGAGCGCCCCACGACCTTACGCCCTCGACGCCCAACGGACAACGCCCCGACGTGGGGTCTCCGTTAGGTCAGGATAAGGTGAGGCTCAAATCATCCGAGGAGTCGTAGCGACTCGCCTCCACCCTTTACGCCCTCGACGCCCAACGGCCAACGCCCCCAGTAGGGGGACTCCGCCAGGTCTGGCACAGGTGAGGCTCAAATTGTCTGGCGAGTTCGCTCCTGCTCTTGCGCCCTCAACGCCCAGCGGTCAACGCCCAATTGGGGCTCCGCCAGGTCAGGCCCAGGAACACCCGACAAAATTTCGTACTCTGACACAGAACTCACCCCTCGATCCCAAAATCACTGCTGGTACTTCTGCGAGCACTGAGCGCATACCGGCAAGTCTCGGAGGGGAACATCCGGATCGATGGCCTCATAGTTTGGAGAAAGGTTCCTCCCACATAGGAACTTGGATCCTTTCAGGATGTGCACCACCCTCGAGTAGACATGCATCCGACTATCTTTAGCAACGTCCAGCTCAGCTGCACTCAATCGCTCCATCGAGGCGCAAGCTCCTCCAGCGGCCATGTCCCCGTCGCCGAAGTCGCCTTCCTCGTCATCGGACTCCTCCATAGAGGGATCGCCTTGCACAATCTGTTCAGTAAGCAGCTCCGTGCCACCAGACTCAATCAGCTTCGCGAGGCGCCAGACCTTCGAGGCATCCGGCTTGAAGGATCCTTTCCTGATCTTTTCCACGATAAGATGAACTACCTTCATGAGTCGGGTCTGCTCGTCTCTCGCATAAGTAAGCGGCGACACCACTCCCGGATCTATGTGATGCCCCAGCAAACGTCGATCAGCGAGAGGGACATCCGTGGATTTTGCAGCCCAAGACAAGACCGTGCACTTCAGGGAATGACACCCTAACCCAGCAGTCATCTGGGAAGCCGCGGTCATGAACTCCCTAAGGTAACAAGTGGCCTCCCCCGTAGACATAGGACGGTTAAGCCACTCACCAGTCACCTCGGAGAAAGCCGGGAGCGCCGGGTTGAGGCCAAGACCAGCAGCCTCGCGCTCCTTAGCCCAAACTTCTCCCCACGACTCCTCAGCGAAGAACTTTCCCAAGGAGGCCAAAGGAAGGAGCTGATCCTTCCTCGAAGCCGTCTTCCACTTCGAGCTCTCTGCCTCGACCAGGGTAACACCCTGAGCAGTGCTGACCTTGAGGCTGGTCAGCTGCAAGGAATCGGCGAATCGGCAGCTAGACCCTATGCACACCAAGAGGTGACCCGCAATGATTCGCCAATGGGGGTACGGGGACTTCAGGACCACGTACTCCAGGCCTTTCACCTGCTTCACTGTCAAAGGTACTGCCTGAACAAGCTTCCTCTTCAAGGAGTACATGCGCTGCGCAGCACCCTTCACTCTAGCGGACAAGGCCCCCAGAGCGTCCGGGCTACAGAGCTTCAAAGTGTGGACAGCGAAGTTCCAGGCCTGAAGGAAAGCCGAGGCGGATGTCGGCTTGCCATGTTCCTCTAGGTGCGACATGTATCGGTACAAAACCTTCTCGCCAGCCCCGAGCGGATTTCCCAGACCATTGTCAAAACAAAAGTTGGCAAACCTCCAAAGCGACGAGGCTCTCTTCACTAAGGTAGCTGTACTTTTGCCATGAAAGACATCCAAGAAGGTTCGCCTCATCTGATCACCGTCTCGCAGAATCAAAGCCTCAGCCGCAAGTGACTGCCCCACCTGAGACAGCGCCGGGTCAAGCAAAACCAGCGTCCTGAACTTCCTCAGAGCCTCCCAGCGAGAACTGTCGTCTGTAGCCAGGAGAGCTGCAATCCTAAGACGCTCCCTTGCAAAGTTGGGCACCGGCTGTGGATGAACCAGAGGCACCCCCGCATCAACAGCAGATCCTGAATCGGGAGACAGGTCCCGAGGTAGCTCCAGACGCGGCCTCTTGAGTGGCCTGCCAAAGATCCAAGAAAGGGGACCCGTCTCCCAAGGGAGAAGAGGAGTCTTTCGAGACGCCTCGCCCACCTTTATGTGCCAAGAGAAGTCCTTGATGAGAAGAGACTGAGCATCCAGAACAAGCGGCCTATCGGCAGCGACCAAGGCCGCATGAAATTCGGATGGCCCAAGCAAAGCGTCTGAGTTAGGCTGACCCGCCATATCCCAATTGAAAAGTCAGCAAAGGTCGAAATTATGGCAGATCTGCGGCAGACTGTACGCCAGGCTCAAGAAACACCCGACAGGCAGACCTCAAGCTCTGAATAATCCCCTCCAGCCACGAGAGACGTTGGTGATGGCCGGTCTGGTTCACCCAGGCACGAGCAAGGGACTCTTCCAAAGCCTGCAATGCGGACCTGAGAGTTTGGATGTTCAGTCAACGGTCACTGCAATGTGTTTCCCAGCTATGTGCATGTGCTGACACGTGACCTACGGACACACTGAACTTAGGCCAAAGGCTTTTGCACTCGAACAACTGATTCCACGCCAAAGTAAAAGTGTGACATGAAATCAAGAGCGCACAGGTTTTAAATAAGTTGTAAAAAATTTGAAATTCCTACGTTTCGCGTCGCCTCTATGGGCGACTATAAATCAAAGACAACTCTGTCCGCCCGCGGAGAACGTCTTCGCAAAGGCAAAGTGGCGAGGAGGACCTGGCAAACTGAGTTTTCCCCTGCCCAATCAAACGAGGCAAGGCCGCTACCCAGGAGCCAAAGCTAAAGCCAGCATCCTCCGAAGCATCCTGACCAACAAGAGAGAATTCATCGCCTGACTCTACAGCACGGGCGGAAGCATCCTCAGCATCAGGAGCTTTTGCAAAAGATGGAACAAAAGGCACAGCCGCAGCCTGGCAGGAGCCCCCGGCCGGGGAAGACCGACACCCACTACCTTCAGGGCAATGGGAGGCGTGACGGGGAGCTTGCTTGGCTGAGGCTGGCTCGTGGTGCAAGGTGCGTGGACCCGCGGGCCTCTTTCATTTTTCGGCGCCGCCTGTGCGGCTTTTCTGGCTGCCCACTGGGCTGCTCTTTGTTGCTTGCGGCTGAGCTGGGTCTCTGCGCTGTCCAACGTGGGCGCCGGCACGCTGGGAGGCTTCGGAGCTGGCTTTTCCGGAGGTGCTTTGGCGGTCCCGAAATCCTCCCGGCGATGGTTTCCAGCTCCTTTGTGAAAGCTAAAGCAATTGGAACCCAGCGCTGCTCCGCTAACTTTTTTTTGGCGTGAGCGGGCCTCGTCGACTACAGCTGTAGCACTCGGTCCCTACAAACAGACAAACCAACAAACAAACAAAAACAGCGGTGAAACATGGCGGCTAATTAAAGGAGGGCAGAAGCTAGCCGCGGCGCACAGGCTTTGCCGGTGTTGGCCGTTCAGCACAAGCTACGGGGCCTCAGCGACCGATCCACAACAACAGTGGGCCGTCGCCCAGAGCTGTCCAAGACCATCGGTGGAGCCCAAGTCAAGGCTCCGGCCGCCGTTCTTGTTCCGTCGAACAACGGTCAGCCCCGAGTTCCTGTTGTGTCACAATCGTGCACGCAAAATCCACGACAACCAGTGGCGAGGGCCAGGGAAAAAGACCCTTCGACGTATGTCGATAGTCATGGACAAGGGACTGGCCGATTGGGTCCAGTTTCTTAATGGGCACGCTCCGTAGTCGAAGGGGGCCATTGATCCAGCAGGCGCTGCATGTCGCTGCCGCTGGTCGGGAAATGGGATTCCCGCAGAAGGTAAAGCAGTTGGTACTGGCCCTCAGCATACAAGTCCTTGAGGCGGTAAAAGCCGTACTGAAGCGTGTCTTTGTCTGGCTCATGAAGATGCGGCATGAGCTCCTCGGAAATGAAAGGAAGCTGCATGCCCGGGCCAATTCCACCCTGCTCCATGAAAGTCTGAACCGCCGCTCGCCAGCTGTCCTGTCCCCAAGGGTTGCCAAGCCGATACCGTGGACGGCTACCGTCGGCAGCATCGTGATTGGACTCTTGTGCCACCAAGTGATGGAGTAGAACTTGGGCCCTGCAGTTCCATGCATCGAAAATCCCATAGCGCCACAGACGTACTGGGAAAAATAGAAGTCCAGAACACGACAACAGCTGAGCGCTGCTCCGCTAACGGAGTGAAAGTCTGCTCGGCCTGAAGTGTCAGTAGCCATCCAAGAATTGCCTTTGTCGAGTGCGACCTGGTGCACAAGTGAAAAGCTTAAGGTGTCCTAGGCTCCCGAAAACCGAGCCAATGCTCAATAAGAAACCACCATGTCTCTCCAGAAACCGCATGTAGCTGATCGTTGCGAGGCTCTGGCAATACGGCGGAGGCAAGAGAGCCCGATCCAGCGCGCCGGAGAGTTCGCCGACGCCATCGCTTCGTTCGCCAGCTCCTCTTTGTCAGCTGCCCTCCTTGCGTGCCTCTACGTCGCGGCATGCCTTCTACAATGTGCTTGCATTCTATGAGAGCATTGATTTCGCGCTGAGCTGCTCGGCAGCCAAGACTGAGCACGCACGGGAGGAGGAAGGCCCCAAGCCGAAGCCAGTTGCTTCGAAGCTCATCTTGGCTTGCTGGGCGGCTAGCTGGGCCACGGTCGGCTTCTTTGCCTTTGCCTGCCTCTCCTCTGCACCTATGCCGGAAGGAGGGCGTGGTCTGCGTGTGCAGACCATCATTTCGTCCACGAGCAGCCACCACCAGCCTGAGTTGCAAAGCTCACCACGAGTAACAAGTCGTCTGGAAGGTGATGAAGCAGCTTACACAACTCCGCCAGCGCTGCACTGATCGCAATGAGTGGGTTTGACACAGAGTCGCGACGCCTCCTCCTCCGGAACATCGCTGGCACATTGCCCTGCAGCGAACTACAAATGTCACAACCAAACTGGTCAACGTTGATGTGAAGATTCCGCCGTCAATGACATTGGGAGCGACAGTAACTTCGCAATCCTGTTGCAACGGGAAATGCCCCCTGACCCTGGCCATTCGGCTTTGCGGCGGCTATCTGGATGTTTCGCGCATGGCAACTAAGCCCGCACGTCGGAGTTGATCCTCACTTATTTATAGAATCGAGCTTGAAACGGCTGCCTCTCAAGCTGAAAAGTTAAAGGTGTCATCCCCTCCCGCATGGACCTCGCACTTTCGACTGCTCGTTTGCTTCTGGAACTGCTCTGGCAGCCTGGCTGGCCTTCTCTCTCCAGAAGATTGGGCACCCGTGCGGCAAAGAGAGACTGAGGTGCTTCTTGCCGGAGGTCGCTTGAGCACCTACAGTGTGTGAGTGAGAGCGCCCTCGGCTTGGGATTTCTGGTTGGAAATCGAGAGTCTGTCTCTTAGGTTAGGGATCTTAGACTAAGCCTTCTCCACGCGAGCCGGCCACGAACCGATTCCTCTAGGTCCTGCCTGGGTTTTTCGGAACCCCCGGGGGCCTTTGGGGTTGCCCTAAGTTCTTGCTCCGCCTGAGTACCTTTGCAGCTTGGCGGCCCAACATAGTACGCCTGCCTGCCATCCAGTGAATCGCCTGCCAGGCCGCATCTCGGCCCTACTGCATCTCTTTCGAACCGCACCCCGGTCAGAAGGCTCCAGGCGCCCACGACCGTTTCTGTGTGTGTCGGCCACAGGTCAGCGGTCTGTCATAAGAGCAAAGGCTGCAATCTCCGGATAGACGCCGCAAAGCCGAATGGCCATGGCTAGTGGACGCAGGCAATGGCGGCGTGCCAGGCGGATTACATTCAGAATGTCGAAGTCTACAAGGCCTCTGACTTCTCCGCATAGTCACATTCGTCAGGAAGTGCCCCGGATTTTCTAAATGTTCCTCATTGAGAGTGACAAAGTGCATTCACCCAACTGTCCGGCACAAACGCGCTGCAGCCACCCAGTCCTCAAGACGCAGCCTTTCCCAGTGTCGATCTCCGCAAAGCAGCCAAACCGCTAGCGCTGCTTGCAGATCGTTGAACCTTGCCTCTTAGTCCCCCTTAGGTCATCCTTGGGGTTGATGACACGTGCTGCGGCTGCGCAGGTGTTCGACATAAGCCGCCGTAGTGTGTCTAGGCGGCGGAGTCCGCTTTTTGGCCGCGTGTCAGAGTCATCTGAGCGGCGACGTTACTGGGAAGGCCGTGAGGGTGGGCACCCAGAGTCTTCAATATCTCTAAATCAAGAACATCTTAAATTGTCCCTAAAAAATGACTGAAGGAATTCCTTAATTAAGAGGTATCGTGCGCGTCCAGAGTTTTGAGCAGCGCATCCAAGTTGCAGATTGCAGGGGCAATCTCTGCTTTCGAGTTCATCTACGAATGCAGGGTCCTGCTGAACGCCCGCTCCCGCACTTATCGCTGAGGACGGCCAGTTCTCGGTCATACCCCGCACCACAGTAGTTACTGCAGCTGCGTAGTCTGATCTGCGGCAATATCGGCCGGGTAATAGCACCGGGAAGCGAACCCACCGGCCACAAAGTGTCATGCTGATCCACTTTTTGTCCCTGCCAATCGCGCAGTCCATACAATGAAAAGCAACTTCCCTCAGGGTCCACGTCCAAGGTCACAACGTAGGATTCAGTGGTATCAAAGACGGGGTAAAAGCAGGTGGACCCTCGAAGGATCTGCCAAGTGGTCCCGTTAATGTTTTCTCAGTTTTCTCGGGTCCACGCAAGTGTAGCTGGGCCTGTGGTGGCGGCGTGTTTTGTCTAAGACCACAACCAAGAGGAAAGGCGGGAAAGGTTGGAGGTGCCAGCGTTGGTGGAAGTCGTCTACCTTAGCTTGGTCGTTCTCCATGCTCCGAGCCCACGGTATCGTAGGTGGCTTGCCACTGCATCAAGCCATGTAGCCGCGCGTGCATGCGTGTCACGGCTAACAGGCCCGCGCCTGTGATACGACTAGCAGCGGCTCCGTTCCCGGGTAAGCGCGGCTGTAAGCCGTTGATGCGCTGCTTTGCCGCACTTGGTGAAGTCGCCAACCCTGTCAACGATGCACAGGTTAACAGCACCTGTAGAGCCGGCGCACGCAGTAGCTGAGAACAGGTCGATGAAAGGGCCTAGTTCAGCAGGAATTTGTACAGAGCTTCCGCTTGCCGGGCCGAGGTAATCTCCGCGGGCAGCGGCAGCTCGGGTTCCAGCTCCCTGGCCCATTCCAAAAGCAGCTTCCCCTGCTGCACATCGCTTACGCTGCTCATGCTGGTCCGTGAGTCCTGCATTGCTCAGACCCACA